ATGGTGGCACACACCAGTAAACTCAGCACTTGGGAGGCTGTAAACAGGAGAATCACTAGGAGTCAGATCTAGTAGTGAGACCCTGAACACCCTGTAGACCTTTCCCTAAAATACAGGAAAAGATAAAAAATAATAAAAAAATAAAACAAAGGGGAAAATAAAATTCATTCAGTGTCATGTAAAAAAATAAATAAATAAATAAAACAAACCAAAAACCAAACCAAAACAAACAAACAAAAAAAGATGCTGGGGCGGCTGAAAACGGGAGGATCACTAGGAGTGTGAATTGCGTAGTGAGGCCCTATACAAAAAAAACCATAACGAAACAAAACACAATTTAAAAAGTTGTGTATTTATGGGGGGGGGAAGCCCTGTTCTTAAATCTAATACAAAAATGAAATTTAATAATAAAAACACTGGCAAACACAGGTGGTGCAGGGCCTGTAATCCCAGCGCTTGGGAGGCTGAAAACAGGAGGATCACTACGAATCTGATCTGTGTAGTGAGACCCTGTAGACCTTGTACTAAATACATAAAAATTTTAAAAAGTTGGGGCACAACAGAAAACTAAAATAGAAGTACAATATAAGCCTGTTCCTTTTCCCCCTCAGTGTGTATGAATATCTTTATGTTTAGTACTGATGGATTGGTATGCTTAATATCCTGCCTTTGCTCCTTCTCTAGCATGGTCTCCCCTCCACCTAGTCCCTGCCCTGTAAGAAACAATGGTAGTTTACTATCACATTTGTTTTTGCAATTTTCAGTGTCCATGCTGACTGCAAGTAGGTAACCAGCCTGTCCTTTGTCTTGTTGTCACATCATCATCACTGCACGTATTATACCATCTTTGTCTGATTGTGGCTATATATTTTTAAGTTAAGTGCTAGCAACAAAATCAAATTGATAAACTGGAAAACAATTGTGAAAGATAAGCCCTACTTTCCCAACAGGAAATGAGCCCCTACTACCTGACAAAAAACAAAGACAAGTGCTATGAACAATCATTTTACACAGTAGGAAAATGAAATTGTAATTAACATCTGAAAAGATGCTTGGTCACACTACTACCCTAATCAATATTTTTACTTTTTTTTAAAAATTCACTTTAAAAGAGGACAGCTGACATAGGAGGTAGAGTGCGGCAAAGCTGTCTCAGGAAAGTGAGACCTGTCAACTACATATCCAAGAACAGTGCCAAATAATTCCCAGGAACCCCCTATGTAGGACTTCCAAGTGCACATCCAGGAGATGTGGACTACAGGTAAGGCCACAAATGCCACAAGGAGCCTGCTATCATGATTCTTCGCAATAGCCCACTCTCTATCTCCTAGACCAGGGTGTACTTTTATTTTTGCTTTTATCCTTTCTTTTGTTCAGCTCAAGTTCAGAGCCAGTTTTCTCCTTACTACTTCACTTCTTACTTTTCAAATAAGCTTTTTGGCACTGTTTTTGGCTTGTCCAATTCTTTGTTCAAGGCGAGAAGGACCTGGAACACTTTTCCTTGGCAAGCCATTTCTGAAAGAACCACCAGACCACACAACCACTCATGCAATCCCATAAACCCCAGGACTCTGGGATGCTGAGTTAGGGAGATTGCAAATTGGATATCAGCCTGGGAAATTTAGTAAGACCCTGTCTCAAAATGATAAATAAATAAAAGATGGGGCTAAAGATGTAATGTAGTATAATAACCCTCGGTTCAAATTTCCAGTACTATACATATATACACACAAGAGCACACTATTTTTCATTTGTCAAAAGAATCATTGTTTCTGTTTTCTGGTAGTGAGGTGTGTGATATATATTGTAATATATATTAACATTGTAATATATACTAACATTATATGTATATACCCTTTGATTTTGGCAATCTAGTCTCTACAATTTCAAGTTAGAACTCTTTGTAATGACAAAAACTGAAACATCCATCAGTAAGGTTATAGTTTAATAAATTTGTACATTCATAATCCAGAAGTTACTGTAAAGAATAGAGTTGAACTATATGTAGATGACCATAGAATACTGAATGAAAAAAATTTCAAAAATCACTATTCCCAAAAATAAGATATAAGTGTTGACCAGATAGCTCAGTGGATTAAAGTGACTGCTTAAGCAGATGCAAGGGCTAAGATTTGATCGATGGCTTGCCATGCTGACCCCACCCCCAGGTGTGCTGAGACAGTGATTGAGACTGTGCATGGTGGCACATGCCTGTAATCCCAGCATTTAGGAGCCTGAAAAACAGGAATGATTACTACAAGTCCAATCTGTGTAGTGAGACCCTGTAGACCATGCACTAAATACATTTAATAAAATAAGGTATAATTATGGTTTTGGAACAGAAAATATTCTGTGTTATTTTTGTATGGAGGGGTATGCACTGGATTATTAAAACAGTTACTCCTGGATGTGAGAGAAGAACAAAAAAGATTTTTTTTTTTTTGGCGGAACCAGGGATTGAACTCAGGTCCTTGGCCTTGCCTGGCAAGTGCTTATTCTACTGAGCCATCTCCCCGGCCCCCCAAAAAAGATATTATGAAACCGTCTCACTTCATTTAATGAGTAAATATCAATTTAGTAACTAAAAAGAAAATCTAGCCAGGTATAGTGGTTGCAACACCCATGACTATCAATAGTCCCAGGAAAAACAGCAGCTGGATAAGGAAAATATAGACAAGACAAAAGCTGAAGTCAGGTAGAGCTCCTCTCTCTCCAAAAAAAACCTAAACAAAATAAAAGTACTAGTTTTTTTTTTTAACGGTTTGTTTTTGAGATAGGGTCTTATTGTGTAGCCCAGGTTGGCCATGAACTCATGGCAATCCTGCCTTAGCCTCTCAAGTGCTAGAATTACAAGTGTGCGCTACCATGCCCAGCTACACTAGGTTGTTAATAGTGGTTATCTCTGAGGAGTAGCATTAGAGGGCATTTTTCTTTTTATATTTTATAAATCCATAGGTTTTCAAATAATGAGTGTTAGTTCTATATTTGGGAAAACATTTGAAGGGTGAGTTAATTTAATATTTCATCCTTTAGATATAAAATAATGACGGGCTGGCAAGATAGCTCAGCAGATTAAGCACCTGCTTAGGCAAGCACAGAGACTGGGGTTCAATCCCCAGCATCACATGCCATGCTGGCCCTGACCCTGGGCATGCTGAGCCAGCCACCAAGTCCAGGCATGGTGGTGCGTGCCTGTAATCCCAGCACTGTGGAGGCTGAAAACAGGAGCATCACTCTGAGTCTGAACTGCATAGAGAGACCCTGTACCAAATAACATTAAAAAGAGAAAAGAAAAATAAAATAATGAAAATTCTATTTAAACATATTAAGTGCATATCAAAAGGACGATGACATACTACTTCAAGATAGTATAGTATCACATACTGGTCATGTGGAGAAACTAGAGTCTTCATGTATATCTGATGGGGATATAAAATGGTTCAGCCACTTTGGAAAGGTTTGGGTGGTTCTCAGTATAGTTACCATATAAATAAGCAGTTCCACTTGGAAAAGAAATAAACTCCATATATATGTGATAAATTATATATATATATATATATGTGTATATATATATATCTTAACAATAAAAAAACAAATCTCCAATACATACTGTAATATGGATAACCCTTGAAAACATTACACTAAGTGAAAGAAACTAGTCACAAAAGACCATGTATTATATGATTCCACTAACATGCTCTATCTAGAACAGGCAAAGCAATACCAATAGAAAGTAGCTTAGTGATTTCCTGGGCTGGGGAAAGGACAGACTGGGGAGTGATTGCTAACAAAAAAGCTTTCTGAGGAAATAAAATATTCTGAAATTAGTGGTGATACATTTGCACACATAATGAATATACTAAAAACCACTTGGTTTTGTACTCTAAGGGATAAATTTAAAAGATTATCAGGTAGAAAAAGTCCATCTGACACAAATGTTTACTATTTTCAAAGTGCAACAAAAATATTTCTAATTTATGAAGTCCTACAATCAACTAAGTTCAGCATTGTCTAAATAGTACTCAAAGGAGTTGCAATATTTCTATATAGAATGAAATGAAAAAGCAGAAATTCAAAATTCACAGCCTCATACTAATGAAATAAAACCAAGGTATGATCTCTTTCTGAAGTTGATAATTCTTTAGTGATAGCTGTGAATTTGTACCTTAAAGAAGGAAGGATTGTGTGCTGGTGAATCCATTATGATCTGACTTGAATACCCAGTATCTAATCCTTTTTTTAAGATTCGTATTTTTTAACCTCTCTCTCTCTCTCTCTCTCTTTTTTTTTTTTTTTTTCCCAGAACCGGGGATTGAACTCAGGCCCTTGCATTTGCCAGGGAAGAGCTTATTACACTGAGCCATCTCCCGAGCCCCTAAAAATCTTTCTGAAGGACAGCATAACAAACTACACATAATAGTAGTATTTCACATTTCAGGACATTCTAGGAATTACAGAAGACAAATATATATATTGTGAGGTGGTGTAAAAAAAAAAAAAAAAACAAAAAACCAAGGCTGTTCCTAGAAAGTTTGTCAGTGAGGAGACCTGGAAATAACAAATGCCCAACCACAGAAAACAGCTAAATAGTAGGGCCCAGGAAATTTGTTAGCATGTGGATTCCACAAGTGGAATAAAAGCCCATGAAGAAAGCAAGACAGATTTGTGCCTGCTGTGGTCATTACTATGGAGGACTTGGGAATCCAGGCTAGTAGCAAAGACGAAAGAGTTGGGATTGGAGAGTTTGGAATTTAACCTATTTTATCCCCATGATAAACATAAGTATATATTGAAAACATGTACTATTTTTAAATCTTTATTTGATTTCCTTTTCTGTTTTAATTAATTTTGGGGGGATAATAGTCTTGCTATGTTACCGAGGCTGCTCTTGAACTGGGTTCAATTGATTCTCCCCCCTCAGCCTCCCAAGTAGCTGGGAATACAGGCATGTTTCACCATAACAGGATTTTTCTTCTTGTCTTACATCTCTACATTTCTTTAATGAGAATGTCCTCAGACATTTGTAGACTAAAACACGTAATATTCCACAAACCCACAAATTTTTCCGATACAAACCAAGACAGAATAATCTGACTCTTGGACTATGTGTTCAGTGCTTTTCTGTGGTAGCAACTTAGTCTTTTTAATAGTACTCAGTAGGAAAATTGGACCCCACAGTGATCAAAACAGTGATAAATTATGATCAATTTTTCTGATTGGTTTGTGAGACTTAGTATCGTTGAGAATCATAGTTCATTAATGCAGGCATATGGATACTTTTGTAATGATACAATATATTTGTATTTTATGTAGGTTTCCTGTGTCCTCAAAACAGACACACACAGAGGGGAGACAGTGGGAAAGGACAATGAGAACACTGTCTTCTGTTTCCAGAGGATCTGAGAGTGTTAATTCATGCTAGGTCTTATTACACAACATTCATATACTTCCTCCTCTAAAATCCACTGCATGTTATCAGTGTGTGTATTATCTTCACTCCTGATTTGCCACTATTTGTATTGCCACTCTGCTATGGTTTGATAAACTTCTTGACACTTGGACTACTTTCTTTCTTCTTTTTTTTAAATTTTTAATAAATTTTATTAGAAGTATGGTTTGGGCAAACAATTTTAACCTTTATTGTTGTCATATTAAATACAGGATAAATTAAATTACAAGTCATACAACTGAACAAAAAATTCTTTATACAAAGTATATTTAGATACCTACATACAATCTGGTTTTGAAAACGAAATTTGTGTATATAGTTGTGATCCTAAGTGTGTCAAATCAGAGAAGCTAGACAACAATGAGACTCCTGAAGGGGCAAATCCAGGTATCAACAAAGACACTGAATTTCTGTGTTTCACCAAGAATCAAAAACCACCAATCTTTTAGTTCTTTTCTTGTACATTATTCTGTATCCCTGGATTTAATTTCATTTCCTTTGTGACATTCTCCACAGATATATATATATATATATATATATATATATATAATTGGCTGCTGCTTTGGAGGTTGAAGGTCCTGCTGAGTTTCCATTGTTAGTGTGTGATCTGGGCAACACCAAGAAGAAGGTTCTTTCTGGACTACTTTCTTATTTACTGTCTTCCTTATAGCAGCAGCTGCCTCACAGTAGGCATGTAACTACTATGTGCCTGAATGCAAGTTGCAAGACCAGGAGATGGCATAGAGATACAGTGTTGGGCATTCAGTGAGGCCCCTGGTCATCCACTGCACAGATGGTCAGAGGACCCATGTTCTTCCCTCCGTCATGTGTTCCAGGGCTGAAGATAGGTTGAAGGGGCCCAGAGGGAGAGAGGCTGGTGAATGTGTATATGTGCGATCTGGTTGTCACATTATAAAAGGAAATATGTCCAGTCTTCCAGTCCAAGAAGATGCCCACACGTTTGGGGGGTTCACTTATTCGAATGTGGGTTGGGGGAATGGTAGATGCTTGGTATTCATTTGGCTTCATCATCATCACCACCCAGTAGCCATTCTGTGGTGTCAGAGTCACACTCCCCTTCCTGCTTGTGGATGCCTTGCATATTCCCAAGACCCATGCTGTCTTGTTCCCAACCTCTACTTCCCAGTATTGGCAGCCAGAGAAGAATCTGGGAAAGCCTAGGGTGAAGATGCAGCTGTCGAACCTTTCTGGGCTGTCAGGCAGCCTGTCCCATTTGCCTCCAAGTCTCACACTCTTCATATCATCAGAAAAGACAAGGTTTGGATGGGCAGTTGCTGGATCCAGGAATACTTTAACTGGAAAGAGAATTAGAATACCTATATAGAGGTTCAAGGGCAACATCCTGCTAGGGCTCACCCTACCTCCAGGAAACAGGACAGGGCTGCTCTTCTGGATTGTCATGGGGCACACAGAGACCCAGCAGTCCAGACTTGTCTTGATCTGGGCACTTACCAGCATGTGCCTGAGCACTGGTCAGTTCTTGAACTACAGAGAAAAAAGAAGACAGATGTGAAGAAAAGGTCCTGGGCAGTCCCATCCAGAGGACCTGAATTACATTATATCGGCAACAAGGAAAGACAAGGATCCTCTTGCTTAGAGCCCAGCATCCTAGTCTTAGTCTCCTAGGTCAACTGCACCCATGTTAGTGAATGTGGCTGCCAAAGAGGCAAGTATGAAAGGACTGTGCAGAGCTGTGGAGCCTGCCAAGACCTTCCTCATGCCTTTGTTCCAGGTGTTTTTCTCTCTTATAAAACAACTCCCTGAAATCAACAGTATAAGTGACTGTCACATAATTGTACACCGGTCAATGTACACTTCTGCCACCATACTCACCACTGAATGTTTCCATTTCAGAACGCAATGTATCTAAAAGGGGGAAAAAGGAAGAGAAAGAGGCTCAAGTTAGGTCCCCTGGCAAGGAACAAACCAAAGAGAAGCTGAAGAAATAGTCATAAAGGCCCTGGGAGGTGCAGAGGGAAGCAAGGGTGATCTGGGCTCCATGAACCCCATGCAGAGCGTGAGCAGCTGCTTCCCATCTTCCCCAAGCCCACCTACCTGAGAAGTACTTCATACTTTTCTCTACAAACTCCGATTTCTGGTATAGCAGGTGGATCTTTTCTTTTACCTCTGGAGGAGTGACCCATGGCTCAGGGACAGTCACTGTCTTGGCCCTAGAGATAAGAAACTTAGCTGGGAAGATCTGGAGGGGAAGGATGGCCTGAGTCTGTGTGAGCTGCAAATGAGTTGCAGTCTCCATGAGACACACCCAGCCCAGACTGGACTAGGCAAAGAAGAGTCCTCACTTTGCATAGTTCAGGCTGGGGCTGCACAGGAACCTGGCCAGGATTGGTGGGGGAGGGGGGCACAGTTCTCAGGGGCTAGTGGTGGAGCAATGGGAAATTAGCTTCAGTGGTACAGGCTTTCCCATGGGAAAGTGGAAAAGTTCTAGAGATGGCTGGCAGACAACAGATATATGTAAAGTTCTCCAAGCGACAGTTCCACCCTTCTCCTATATTGCCTTTTGTCCTTAATCCAACTCCAAATAATTCTGCAGAGAGTCCTAGAAAATGCTTCATGCCTGGAGGCCATAGACAGCTGGGCAGGGACAGTTTTTATAAAATGAAAGTTTCATTCATTATTTTCCAGCTTTTCACCCTTGTCCCCTCCCCGCATCCTGGTTAGGTTCCTTTTATCCTTGCACAAATACAGGAATCCAAGATGATGCAGGAAATGGGAGGAGTTAGAAGTCGCAGACTCAAGTTTCTCCTAGGACTGTCTCACCCAAATGCCGCCTGCAAGATACCCAGGGGAACACCAGGGAACTTTCTGTACCTGTGCAAGGTGACTCTGATGTCCTAGGAGAAAAAAAAGAAACATTTCCAGTATCAGTCTCCTGGTAGCCAGGCTTATTGTGGCTACTCCCCCAGGGCTCCTATCTAGTATTTAAGCTGCCTCCTGTCCTTACCAGGGATGCTAGCCTTGGGGCATCAGGTAGCTGAAACATCGCTCTCCTAATTCTAATCACCCAGGAAGTGCTCCTGCCAGAGCCTGCTATAGAGTCCTGCACATCTCTTGAGGACAATGCTAGAGCACCATCATGCTGTGCCAACCTGGAGCCTCAGGAGACTTCATCACAAGGTTCTGGGCTCAAAAAACATGGTAGCTCACCAGAACCAAGCCTACACCTAGGCCTCTAGGGGCCTCACTCCCTTGCTTTGATAGAGGTGATGGCATTGATGAGACTCTGGGTCATTTCATGGACCTAGCTAGCAGGGGAAGATCCAGAGTACTGACCTGCATGAGTTCCCATTCCGACTGTCCCAGCTTGGCCTCAAGCTCCCCAATCAGCTCATCAAGGAGGGTGATGTTCTGGGATATCTGGGTGCCATAGGTCTTCCGGACCTGTCCAATGGTTTGGCCCAGCTCTTCCAGCCAGGCCAAAAAGAGCTTCTCCTGCTGTTGAAGAAACCGATACAGCTGCTCCAGTTGACACCACACCCTCTGCTTCTGGGTTTCAGTTTGTTTCTGGGAATTAGAGGATAGGGGTTAAGTTGTAGGGTGTCATGTGTTCGATGGGGTGGACATGTATCTTCAGAAGGAGGCCTTTGAAGCGTACCTCCTGGAGGTGGATTAAAGGCAGTCTTCCTCAGCCTCTTGGAGGCCCAGAACCAAGGGTAGTATTGTCTAGAACCTTCCAGAACAGAAAGGATTAGAGGTGCTAGCTCTTGGAAAATGTTCTTCAATCTAGGATTACAGGTTTATTTGTATTCCCTCCAAAATTCACATGTTGAAGCACTAACCCCTCAGTACCTCAGAAAATGATCTTATTTAGAGATAAGAGTCCAAGCAGATTTACTTAACTAAAAGGATGTCATACTGGGGTAGAATGGGCCCCTAATCCAATATGACTGGTATCCTTATAAAATCAAAACATGGGGTTGGGGTCAGGGGCTTAGCTCAGTGATGCAGCACCTGATTGGCAAGTGTGAGGACCTGAGTTTGGTTCCCAGGACCCCACCCACCCATGACAGCATTAGGACACACACACACACACACACACACACACACACACACACAGGCCTCCCTGAACACACCACACTGGAAGAACACAAGCTGAAGAGATGCAGAGAAAATGGTCACATAAAGCTGAGGAGGAAAGTCTAAAGCAGATCCTTCTCTCACAGTTCTCAAGAGGAATCAACCCTGCCAACCTACATTGAAGAAAGAGAAGGAGCAACCCTGTGTTGTGTACCTAGGGAGGGCTGAATCACTGGTCTCTGTGGGTTTTCCAAAATGGCCCATATTCCTGCCTGATCTCCTTGGGGACACTCTGACCTCTGCTCTACTCACAAGCTTCTCCTTATAGGAAGAGACTTTCCTTTTCCTACAATTCAGGAGTGTCCACAAAGCCAGATACCTGGGCCAATGCCCACCTTCATTCTTTGGCTATCTTTCCCTGTGACCCAGTGAGGCGTGGGGCGGGGGGTACCAACTTGACTTGTCAGCAGTTTAGAAACCAGAAGGAGACAGGATCAAGCCAATGAAAATACATTAGACAAATCAAGAATCTGTAGGGTAGAGTCTAGGAAGAGTGGAAGTAACTTAAATGTCTGAAAGGCTGGGTACAGCTCGACAAAAGGCCAGTAAGTTGGACTTACTGAAATTTGTGGTGTCCCAAAACCACAGTTTTAAAGAAAATGTTTTCTATTTGAATTTTAAGAATCAGTATTGTTATTTTATTTTATTGTAGTACCAGGGATTGAACTCAGGACCTTGTGCTTGCCAGGCAGATGCTTATGCTGCTGGGCTATATCCCAGGTCCAGTTTTTATATTTTAAAAGATGGCAATTATAAAAACAATACCGAGGAGCCAGGTGTGGTGGTGCCTGTCTGTAATATCAGCACTCTGGAAGGCTGAGTCAGGAGGACTGAAAGTTTGAGCTCAGTATGAGCAACTTAGTGACTTACAATGACCCTGTCTCAAAATTTAAAAAGATGTGGGGATCCAAGGATTTAGCTCAGCTCTAAGTCCCCGGGCTCAATTCTTAGTACCACACAAAAAGAGGAGAATTAAAAGTTAATTAAAAGTTAAAATGGTTTTCCTTCCCTTTTTTTCAATCTCATTCCTTGATGACAGTAACTGCCTTTGGTCTCTATGAGCCTTTTGGTGCCAAGAATGATAAATGTACAGGGTCCTCAGAGGTAACTAACTGTCCCTGCTAGGTGGCTTCCCTCTACTGGGACAAGCTTGACCTTGGATACTGTTACTTCCCTGTTCCCTGAGAACAGATGACTATCCTTACTGCCTTGTGAGCCAGAGTACAATTGCATGGATTTCTATTCACTTTTGGGGGGGTATTGGGGATTGAACTCAGGACCTAGTGCTTGCCAGGTCTTATTCACTTTTAATCCCTTTGTTCCTTTTGTAGGTGTGAAAGGGAAAGGACCAGCCACAGGATGCTCCCAGCTTACCAGGAGGCTTGCCGTCTTTATATCCCCCTGTGATCTCTGCTCCTCCCCAGATTTCCTCAGTTCCTTCAGATGCTCCAGCTGCTTCTGAATTTGCTCCTGGAGAAAGAACAATTTTTAGATGCTTCCCTTGGCTCCTTCTTTAGTTACTGACAACTCTGGAGGAGAAAATCTATTCCCAGGAACAAAGTAAGGGTGCTACAATTGAGATCATAAGGAGAAGTATTGGGGCCAGGGAGATAGCTCAGTGGAATAAGTGCTTCCCTGGCAAGCGTAAGGGCTTGAGTTCAATCTCTGGTTCTGAAAAAAAAAAAAAAAAAGGAGAAGTATTCAGGAAGGAGGAAGAATGAATCCATTATCATGGGAAGCAGAGCCAAGCGATGGTGAGGTAGCACTCCACTGACTTCCTAGAATCTCCTCCATACAGTCATGCCTGAAGGCAGGCTCCTCCCCCCATGGATTTATGAGTCACAAAAATTGTCAATCTCCTTTGCTGGCCTGATTTGATTTGTGCTTTTGCCATTTACGGCCCATGAGTCCTGGCTAGTGCACCCATGTCTCACAGTGATTAGAGAAATGAAGAAGGCCCAGTATATCCAACTGCATGGCAAAGGGTCCCAGGCAGGGAGCACTTACCTTGTAGTCCAAGGCAGCCTCCTCAATGGGGCGCACCCGGTGGCCTTGGTGCTCCTGACTCAGCCTGCAGATGAGGCAGATGAGCTCCCCGTGGTCCTCACAGAAGAGCAGCCGTGCCTGCTTCATGTGGCGCTGGCACTGTGGCAGGGCCTGGGGACTCACACTGCCAGAACTCTTACTTGCCCATGAAGCCTGGCACTGTGGGCAGCTGTGAAAGCTTTTCCCTGAGGTCTTAGAGTTCCCAGAAGCAACAGGGTAGCTGCAGGAGCCGTGCACACAGGTACCACCAAGCAGATCCCCTTCCTGGGTATGGCATAGGGAGCGTACAGCTTCACCTTGTGGCCTCCCTGGGGACATGGTAGCAGAAGACACTCCTGAGTGGCAATCCCAAGATGTTTGAGAGAGAGCCTGTGCCATGAGTTCTCAGTTATATCTGGCTCCTTCTTAGGGTTTCCTGTCCTGACTTCCATTTACTGAGGGAGCAGACAGGCCACAGGGACCAAGTACTAAAGGACAGTCCTCATGTTTATTTTTGAGACTTGGAATTCTTGGACATTCATTTTAGGAAAGATTCATAGGCCTTTCCTACAGAATCACTGCCTTCCTCCTACATAGGCATGGATATAGTAGGTGAAATGAAAGAAGACAGCCTGAACAGCATCTGCTTTGCCACTTAAAACCACCCCAGGCTACTGAAGCTCCAGTGGGAGCTTCCAGGGGATAGTGACTCCTGTGCCTCACTCAGCCTGATCCCTAGCTCCTGGCAGGATACATAGGAAACGTTTGGTACATGTATTGAATGAAGGGGCAAATGGATCACTGCTCACATGTGAGTTCCAAAAGCATTAAGTGAAAGCAGGAAAGGGGACATTATAAGGTTAAAAGGTGGCATGAAAATGTAACAGTTATGAATAGCTCTACCCAAAGACACTCACAGAAATGACAGGAGATATAAGAAAAAACAGAAATGCATGCTGTCAGTCCTTTCCCCATCCTAAATGTGCTACCCCAGGAATCCACATCACACGTGTAAACAAAGCTGTTAATAGCTTCCAAGAATCATTCTCCTCTCCTCCCTTATGACAGAATTAATTGCTACCCATATGCCTCCTTCCCAAACTACTTTGCATTTAGGAGTGCCCATCTGACCATATTTTAGCCAAAAGGATATAAATAAGGTGTTATAAGTAGCTTCTAGAAACTTGTAGAAACCTTCCCAAAGTGATCCTCTTTCTCCCTCCATCCTGCTGGCTGATAAGATGATGCCATTATCTGAGACTATGAGTTTTAGAGTAAACTTGGTGGAGCAAAAATGGCCCATGGACTTGTCCTAGACCAACCTGTGTGTCATTTGTTTGAAAGAAGAACAAAGTTCTATTGTTTTAGCTTCTGTAACTTTTGGGTTTTTATTACCCACAAACAAACAGAATCATTCCTTAGTAAGACTAATTCTTACTAAGAGCTAATTCCTTAGTAAGAGAGAACCAGGATTACTAATTCCTTAGTAAGAGACCCACAGAAATGACAGGAGATACAAGAAAACAGAAATATATGCTATCGGTTCCTACAAGAAAAAATAGAAATGTATGCTACTAATTCCTTGGAGAGACCCAGGATTTTGATGAATGGCTCCTATCCTTACCCAGAGAAAGGCAAATAGAAGAATTTTGGCTCTATGACATGTTGTCATGGAATAATTGTGGGAAGGAGATATTTTTACCCAATCTCTTCTGGGTTGTCAATCTAGGCCCCATGAAGCCATGAAAGCTAAAGAAGAATTTCTGACAGTCTAAGAACAAATTGAATTTTTATGTAACATTTTTCAAGGAGGTGCCTATATGCACTCTTTAAGGTCTATCTCTAGCCAAGATAAATACAGTAAGATAAAAGGAAACTTGGTAGAGGGAATACTTTATAGGTCCCCAGCTCTAAAGATGCTAGGTCTTTCTGTATTCTAGGCTCCCCTCTCACCTGAAGATGAAGGTACTTCTGGATTTGAGGACTTGTGTAAAACATCACCTGCCATCTTCCCCAGACTTTCTGAATATCCAGATCCATACTGTCCAAAGGATGCTGTGGATTTTTCCTCTGGAGCCAAACATGCACTGGAAAGTGTGATCTTGAGTTCTGAATTCCTGGAGCCATTCTCCAGAGCCACAGTATCCCCTACTCTGGAAGTGGCTGCTGAGTCTGCATTTGCATTTCTCATTTCCTCAAGAGATGTCAGAAGAGTTTCTGGATTTGGAGGTTCTTTCTTTTCTGAAGAAATAGTAAGTTCAAGACTTTTGGGTCGCTTTTTTCCTGAAGGCAAATATATTTCCAATTTCTTGGAGTCTTTCCTCCCTTGGGCCCCACTGCAGAGCCCCTGGAGTCTTCCTGCTGAGCTGGCATTCCTTCGGAGCTGGGTACTCGCCTGGATCTCCAAATTCCCTGGCTGCTGCTGGGCAGGCACAGGGCTTTTCCTGGCCTGCAGCACTGTGCTCCTAGTCCATGGCTTACCCTGTATGTCCAGGCCCTCAGGACCCTTTACATCCCTCCGTTTGCCTGCAGACTTCTTCTGAGGTCCCCTCACTGCCTCAGTCTGGCTGGATGGCAAGCTGGCTACCCCATCACCACTTTGCTGCTGTCCATCACCTGCAGGGTTATCAGGTATCTTTAGGCTCTTGGACTTGTTCTCCCCAGAATATGCTGCCAAAGTGTCCATGCAACTTGCTTGTGTCCCAAGTTCTGTAAAGACAAACAGATGTAAAGACAGGAGGCTCTCCCATAGCAAGAGTCCATGTTTGGGGGGTGGGAGAGAGGGAGCATCCCATTAGGAATCACAGCAGGTAAAGTATAGAACATTCTAGCCAGTAGCAGTTAATGACCACTAGGTAAGAACATACACATAATTTGCGGTATCTTTCTCAAATAATACTTTTCAAAGTACTTTTCAAGTGGGAGAATTTCTTTCAACAAGATCTTATTTTAAATAAAATAACCTAAAACTCTGGTTATTCATGTAAATTTATGTATGATTACAGATGTACAAATTTCACTTTTAATAAAATCAATGAATAAAAAGAATTAACATATTTGATTAAGACAAAAAATTGAAATCAAGACATAATTCTATCATTTTTCCTTCATGGCATAAGCTGAAGAAAATTCTTATATAGAAATAGATGTAAATGGTAATTTTTTTAAAAATGAACAAGGGCTGGGGAGATGGCTCAGTGGAATAAGCGTTTCTCTGGCAAGCGCAAGGACCTGAGTTCAATCCCTGGTTCTGCCAAAAAAAAAATAATAATACAATAAATAAAAATAAAAAGATAAAAAATGAACAAAACAGCTTGGCTGGAAATTTCAGCATACTGTTTCTATTTGGAAATAACAAGAAAAGCTTACTACTAAAGTCTACATAAGAAAATGAAGATAAATTGTAATTAGTACCTTCCTTTTTGGTCCAAAGAAGCTAAAAGTAATATTTTGGGCCTGGGGATATAGCTCAGTGTAGAACACATGCTTACCATGCCTGGGGCCTGGGTTTAGTTGGTCCCTAGCAACACACATACTTAAAATTATTTAAAATAGTTTGCTGTTGGCTTTCTACATCTAGAGGATGCACCCAAACTGGCTCAAGAACTGGTGAGAACCCTTGAAAATGCAAATAATCAAGTTTCACATCATGAAAAAGTAATTTTGAAATTCTACTCGACTCCCTGACTTTCACAGAATACAGGCATTTTATGTCACTCAAACTGCTTGGCCTTATAGAATACTTGAGATGTATTTCTCATTTGGTTTAAAGTCAAGAAAAGGAAGAAAAATTTGAACACTAAAGAGTATTTTTGTAAAGTGACTCCCCAAAACCCTAAGTCTCTAAAAGCAGAAACTAAATAGGCCATTTTCTTTGGTCACACTGTAATGAACAAGAAAATTACAACATAAGGACAATAAAAGAAGGAAGAACAAGAAAACAAGCAAGAAAGATGATTCTTGAGAAGTTTTAAATATCCTTATAAAGTATGTTAAAGAGAAATTCTAAACTGAATTAGGTGCATAACAATGAGAACATTATTATCGACCTGTTAACATGATTGCTTTGCCAGCCCTTTTAAAACATTGCTCTGCTCAAGTCCTAATCACAAGTATAGTAAAGAATTCTCTAAAAAACATATACTCTCGCCCCTGCCTCTCCTGATTCTGATTGTAAGTCAGACAGGAAAGGCTTAATTCCAAGGTCTACATAAGGAAATGAAGGCTGTAAATTAAAATCCTGGCCTTTTAAAAAAGCCAGTAAGAACCCGAGGGAGGGCCAGGGATATTGCTCAGTAGCACAGTGCTTGCCTGGCAAGCATAAGATACTGAATTCAATTCCCAGCACAAGAAACAAACAAACAGGAAAAAAAGGGGACCCTAGGGAGCTTTACTAACACCTCTATAAGGACCAGAGAGGGGCAGGGTATACTTGACCCAAGTTGCTCAGGTTGTGATGGATAGCAGACTCCTAACTTTTAAACCAGAAAGTTCTAGCTTGAATATGCCTTTCTCTTGCCATGAGGTGAGTTGGGCTCCTTACCCTGCCCAGTGGCCCTGTAGAGTTCCTCTGCAAGGAGGCGCTGGTTGATGGACCGCAGGACTTGCAGAGTCAACCGCACAGCATATTGTTCCCCATAATGGCTGAGCAACAGGGTGGCCAGCTTCACTGGCCTAGCCATTTGGAGATGACCTCGGGGGATCCGGGTGTGCTCCTTCTCCAGGCTGGTGTTCTGCAGCTTGAACTTGAATTTCTCGAAGTCATAGGGCACAAGCTCCTCCAAAGTGTTCAGCAGATGGTCACTAAGGGTCTTGGCCATGGTACTGACCAGGAGAAGCTGGAACCAGTCCTCTGGCTTCAGGCAGGATAAAAAGCCTTCTGACAGGAGTCCACAAGTGAGCAAGCAGCTTGTGAAATCATGGAAAAGGAACAGGAAATTCTTGTGCTTCGGTGGAACTGAGACTAAGGGGAAGGGTGTGTCCAGTGCTCAGACGGCTACATCCCTCCTTGTGCATTCAGAGAATTTTCCAGTTGGGAAGACCTCACCTTCCCAACCATGTGCCCAGAACCCTATGCTGAATGTCAGAGAATGAACATGGAATGGCAGTTCCGACCTTCCATCTGCTGTCCTATGCCTTCAGGACCTGGGGAAGGTGGCAAGGTAGCCATGCTGAGGTCAGCCTCTCTACCAGCGGCTCTCCTCCAGTCTCTTGGAGTTCATGGAACCTCCAGAGACAACATCAGGATGAGAGACAAACAGTAAATACAGCCCTATAAGTTTCTCCCGGGCCTGCCAAGAAGACAGGATTGGCCAGAAGAGCAATGCCTGGAAAATTGATATCCAGGATCATCATCCCAATTTTTCCGGACCTGAGGCTGACCTGGCCCCTGCTCCCTGAGAACTGGGGTACTTTTACTGTGCACCTTTTTTTAAAAACAATGTATTTAGTACAGGGTCTACAAGGTCTCATTACACAGATTGGACTTGTAGTGACCCTTCCTGTTTTTCAGCCTTCCAAGTGCTGGGATTACAGGTGGGCACCATAACACCCCGTCTCAATTACTGGCTCAGCGTACCCCAGAGGTGGGGTCAGCACAGCAGGCCAGGGATTGAACCCCAGGCACCTGCGTCTGCATAAGCATACTGCACATCTTTTAAGATCACATGATCTAGGCATTTGCCAGGATGCTGGAGATAAAAATGAGAGTGTCTTTGGCGATCACCAGCCAGGCCAGGTCCCAGAGGTGGCTCCAAAGCTAACAGAGGTTGGGGGAAAGGGCTGACTTTGTTCCTGGTTTCTGTTGGCACACCCTGATTTTCATTCTCAACTATTTCTTGTGAAAATTTTGAACCTACAAAAAAGTGGAAAGTACAGCACAATGAATACTTACTTACTCTTTACTTAGATTCACCACCTACTTACATGTTTGTAGTATTTTTAGCTTTCTTCTGTGACACTTCTTTTTTTCTTAACCATTTGGTAATAAATTGAAAAATCACTTATCACTTCAAATATTCTAGATACCCTAAGTAGTGTCCACAGTGATACTTTTAAAATGATCACAATATAATTTTCACGCTCAATAAATATTACATTGTTACAATAAAATAATTACTCCATAATCAAACTTTACCAATATCACAATGATTTCTTTCTACTACACAGTTTATGGTTTTTATTTTTCAACCCAGGCTCCAGAGATTGTTTATTGTCTTTCTATTGTTCTGCTTCCATAGCTTCCTTTTATCTACAACATTTTCACTTCTTCAAATTTTTGTTTTCTCTGTCAAAACATGTAAGATTTAAAGATCCATTCCAAGTAGACTATTCTTCATTTAGATTTCTATTATCATTCCCTTATCATTAGATTGGCACTAACATCCTAATGTTCTGAAGATTTCTGCAATATAAAAGGACTTTTTTCTTTGTAGTTAATAAGTAACCTAAGTGTGTGGTAAGGTCTTCTCCTAAATTATTCTCCATATGCCTGTGTCAAGTCATTGATGATCCTTCCTTAAATCAATTATTAAAACAATTCTTACAAAATAGTGATATTTCTATCACTTAGCATTATGTGCACATTTTGGTTCAAACTTTCTGTCCTTATGAAGTTTTTAGCTAAAAGACATTTTGCAAATAGCACAAGTAATCCTTCAACAGCACTTACTCTATACTAGGCACTGCTTCTTCTATAAACACTATCTCTTTAAAATGTCTGGGGCTGCCCTGCAGGGCAGTATTTATGTATGTATGTATGTATGTATGTATGTATGTATGTATGTATGTATTTTTTTGTATTTTAGGGAAGGGTCTACAGGGTGTTCAGGTCTTACTACTAAATCGGACTCATAGCGATCCATCTGTTTACAGCCTTCCAAGAGCTGGGATTACAGGTGGGTGCCACACGCCCAGTCTCAACAGCTGTCTCAGCAAGCCCCAGGGGTGGGGCCAGCACAGTAGGCCCAGGGATCGAACCCCCGGCCCCTGCGCCTGCTTGCAGGTGCTTTAATCCACTGAGATTTTTTTTTTCAGTTTTAATATTTATTTTTTAAAAATAATTTTATTGAGAAAGAAGTTGCAGTGAGATAGTTTCAAAACATGTTAGTAGGACAGTTACAATAATTAATACATTAAGGCAATGATCCTGAGAATCTTCAGAAGATTTTTTAATCTAGCTGTTAATTGGAAAGATTCTCACCCTGACTAACTATATATACTGATACCTGT